AGCCTGAACCTCCCCGATGCAACTTCAGATCATTCCCTTGGGTCCTGTCACTGCACTGGTTGAAGAAGAGGTCAATGCCTGCCTTTCAGCTTCCTTTCGTGAGGAATTTGCAAACAGTGATGAGATCTCCCCTCAGGCTCCTCTTCTCCAGGCTGAACAGACCAAGTGACCTCAACTGCTCCTCGTGTGGCTTCCTTTGTAGGGAAGGCCCTTCACCATCTTTGTGGTCCTCCTTTGGACACTCTCCAATATCTTTCTTATATTGTGGTGCCCAAAACTGCACACAATATTCAACGTGAGGTCAGATCAAAGAAGAGAATGGGACAATCACCACTAATGCAAGATCAAATTTGAACTTTGGGAAATTTGGCAAGAATTCCAACAGCGTAAGAAAGTGAATGTCCATGGTGTAAATCTAGATGATGGGTTATAGAAAACACCTTTCTGTGTATCATGGAACTGCAGGGTTGTCATCTTATTCCATACACCTTAACTCCCAGCAAGTACTCTGTGGAATCAGCCTGGTTTCTAACTCCATAACAAGTGGTGGGGTTTAGTGGTTTTGGCTTTTTTTTTCATCTACTTTTAAACTTAAACCTAAAATGAGAATCACAGTTAGAATATTCACAAATGTTCAGAGAATCTTTTCTACATGAAGAATCTCTCCACAACCTATCTTGTCACATACATTTCTCCAATTGTTCCTTCACCAGTAACTGCTATACCAGTAAGCCTAGAAGACAGGTTATTTTGTTTATCCACCTTTGCCTTAGCTCCAAAAGTAGAAACATACAACTTTTTAAAATTCCAAGATATCAATTAGTTGTTCTAGTGCTCAGAACCGTAGTACAAAGAGCCCCAGGATGTTCAGGCTTCCAACAAGCACCAATGACCTGTACTGCAGGTGAGAGCACCACCGTGATGTGACACAGGCAGAGTGCACTGGCAGTTTATAAGAAAAGTTTGGCATTTACGTCAAGTATATTTAGAAAAAAAATATGTTTTGTGAAATAAGTGACTCCTATGTTTGCACATGCCTGTTATAATTACCTAAGTAAACTGCTATTCCGATTAATGTTAACTTGAACAAACAACTGCAGCAACTACTTTGTGTAATATAATATTAATTCACAAATTCTAGAGGCATTTCAAAAGCCTAAATTTTAAAAGGTCTTCCTGTGACGGAAATATAGAGACTTTTCACAGGATTCCTTGAACTTTGTATTTAAAGCCAATCCTTTATCCACAGAAGGCAATTTAGCTGTTCAAAACTAAAAAATGATGAAAGAATTACTTAGTCATTCTGACATACAGATCTAATTTACAAAACATTTCCCACTCTTTAGAAAGGAGCATGGCTACTTACTCCATCAGTATTTTTTTGCTTTTTTAAGAATCTTGAATTTTCCACTTTTCAAATATGTACATATAACTTTACAATTTGGATAGTGTCTCCCTTTACCTGAGAAAATTAATTGAAAAACTAGAACAGTACTGAATAGCAACTTATAAGCCATTGATGCTAATATTAGATTTTGAAAAAAGAGGATGGTAATCAGGAATCATGTATTCTTAGAAATCAGTGTTCTTCCTGTATGCATAAACATGAGCAAACTCCGTGTCCATGTGCGCACACAGGCAACATTAGAATGTGGGTTTTAAAAATCACACCATTTGTTTTCACATCAAAAATGCAAAACTACAGATGAACTAGTTACATTCTCTGGGTGGCTCTTCAGCTACATCTTTGTGAATACTCTGTACCATATACTACTCTTCCACCCTTGACTCTGCTATGTCACGTATGACTTTTATGTGGCATATATGGTCCACCCAGATGACCATACAATGAATTTAAAACACCTTCACTGATCTTACTAATTGCATCTACGATTTTATGTGGTTCTTGTTTCTACTTGGCTTTCTTTCCAAACACTGTTCCCATTGTTAAATGGTCAGAATACACAAAGCGACAGATTTAGTGCCTCCTTGGCAATTTATATAACTGACTGCAACTCTGCTGTTGCAGTGAATCATGATTTATTTGTCTCGCAATGCAGCACATAACCTTTTAAATGCTAGGGAAAAAAAATGCCAGTGCCTCTTTAAAGTTTATATATGACTGCCCACCACCATTCCTCATGAACGGGGTTTTGAGAGACAAATGATGGAAACAAGCTGCAAATTCCACCCACCTACTCCCGGCCATTTCCTGCGTTCATCACTCACATGTACTGTATTTACAGACAAGCAACTCACCCAGAGCACCAGTGCACTCTTCTAGTCCCCTCATTTCCTCCTCTGCAGGAATATTTTTCTTAAATTAGTAAATGGTGTTCTCTGCTAAACATAAAGGAGGATAACACCAGCCTCCCCCAGCAGACCATGTGTGCCATGCTCAATCACACAAGGTGACAACATGGGCAGACTGCAGTGTTTTACTACTGGTATCTCTCTCTCCATTCCAAACCTGTGATCCCAAGGCCTGTCTGTGGCCTTTTATCATACCCTATTCTCCATGCCTTCTTCTGCACTGATTTCCATTACCTTCAAAAAACAGTTTAATGTAGCATGCACACATACTCCTTCTCATTCAAATACACTGTTTTATCCTGATGTTTTATATTGTGCCCATGTCCCTGGTAAATGAACATCTAATGACTCACTGCTGTCCACCAGTGCCCGAACTAAGCTAGTTGAAAGCCTTCAGCACCTTTAATTATGAAAGTGATAATGAGAGAGAACAGATTGTTTACTTTAAATGGAACAGCAGTAGCTCCAATTAATGCAAATAGGACCTACTCATTGAAAAGCTATTTATCCAACGTGCACAGCACAAAGTATTTGCATAGTTCTGCTTACATTATAATTCAATTTTAAAAATTTAGGAGGGAGAACTCGGACAGCAGATAAAGTTGGTTTTCCCTCAGATGGTGACTACAGCATTAGCAGTCCACGCAGCAGGTTGTAACCCTCACATGCCACCTTTCACTGGCAGACTTTTAAACTGCCTGCAAAGGCATGTTTCTCTAAATTGTCAAGTTTGCAGAAGGCAAAACAGGGCTGCAGAGATCAAGTGACTTTTTCTAAGGATTCAGAGATACACACTAGCCTGTGGCCTGCTCCTCCCTGACCTCAAACAAGCCTTCCAAAGCCTAGCCTGGTGTTCCATTCCCTAAATGTGTGCCTAGATGTTTAATAAACAAGCGAGAACATTACTTTGCACAGCAAATACCCTTCAAGTTACACAAGTTACAAATCTAGACTTTGGTGTAATGTTCTCTGGAAATATACCCCAAAATCTAGGCTATTTAAAATGTTTGAGACAGCTCTAGCATTATGCATTGCATAGACTACAATCGAAATTACACCAACTGATCACAAATGAAGACACTGAGTAAGACCAGAAAATGAAACACTTATAAATGAAAAGTATAATTTATAGAATAGCAGTTGAGTAATAAAGAACAGAAGTAACAAGGACTTCAACCGTGTCAATGCACCTCATCTTGATCAACTGGGGCAAAATCACAAGTCCTTTTTCTACCAGTCTGCAATATCGTTCTGTAATGCAAACAAATGCTAACTAAAAGGAGAAACACTTCCCTTGGCCATCCTGAGTTTTGGAGGTCAGTGCGAAATAAACATGGAGAATTTTGTTTCAGACATTTCCACTTGGGCTGGACAGCGATGGTAAAACCACTTAAAGGGGATTTGCTGTTATGCTTGTGAGGTGGTAGCACATTTAGAACATTTAATTAGCCAAAGTAGGTTGTTAGACTCAGTGCAGCATTTAACTTCCACTTTTGGGAAAAAACTCAAAGACTATCACACTTAGGAAGGCACAGAAAACTGCAGTTACAGACACTACAATGTTACTGCTGTTGAAAAAGACTTTATAAATATATATGACTTTTACAAAAAGCTACAGAAAGCATACCTGTCTCAAGGAATAAACATCTGAAATTAAGGAAAAGAGAGCAACTTTCATCCACCAGTTGTGAGAGGAAAAAGCAAAAAACCCCACAGTGGGTAAACAAATAGAGTCAAAACGAACATCTTTCCACCTCACAAAAGAAAAGCAGACACTTTGCTGTATAAAACAAAAAGCATACATTGTACACTGGCACATTTATACACACAGCTGTCACATTCTCTAATGGATCCAAGCAAGTAGTTATGACAACAAATAATTTTACTTTACCATAGTAACTTCAGTCACTGTCCTCCTGAGTTTAGGAAACTACTATTTGGGAGGTACCAGTAAAAAGAAAGAAGCTTCCCCATGTAACATTCCACAATAAAAAGAAACAAGGAATAAACCTTGTGTAACAGCTGTTTCAAAACCAAGTAATTGATGCATCTACATTATTCCCAACGAAAATACTTTTAAAGATCTGAAGCCAAATTCTGGCTTGAGGCAAACAGGGACAACTTTTAGTGACGTTAATGTCCCTCACATAAAATGGAAAACTGCAATGCAAATTCTGCAAAATCGATACTTCAGTTTCAAAGAAAAACTCTACAGGTTGAAAGAAGCCACCTATAACTATATTTAAATGGCCAATATCACAATGCTTCAAGTGAAAGAGCTGTCTACTCACTAATAAAGGCAAGCTACTGAAACAGAAAACTGAAAAATTCTTTTAATTTAGCTATATTTCACTCTAGTTGATCAAACTTCCATTTTTACAGGAACAACATCTAAAGCACCACTTATGCTACTGTCATTTTTAGCTTAATATAATTTTGGCCAATCTGAATAGTGTTCTCAAAACCCAGTCAGAGACAAGAATAGGTTTGCAGAGCCAATATTTATGATACGTTATATAAAGCAAGATGCTATACAGAAATTGGCAGTCAGGTGACCTAATACACAAGAAAAATTTAACATGTTAAAAAATAGTAAAACCAAACACACATCATATTGCAGCTCATTTCAGAGGAAATACAGTTTATCATTATTAGTTCAATAAATAAATGATCATCCATAATCTTACCCAGTTCTGGGGGCAGCACAGTAAGACGATTTCCCTGGATATGTAGTTCCTTAAGCTGTGTGAGCTCACCAATTTCTTTAGGCAGTGATATCAGGTCATTGTCTCTAAGACTCAGCTAAGAGCGAATATAAATTCAGTCAGAACAATTTTCGGTTACCATAAAGCAGCCCAAAAGAGAACTCTTCCCCCACCTTTCTCCTAAATGTTCAATTCTTCCAATTTATTTACAAGTGTCTTCTGGTAAACAAGAAACAGTTCCAGGTGTAGTGGTCTATTCCTGCAAACATACCCTTCTACTCCTCAAATTGACTGGATTCTACTCCTACAAGTGTTGCAAAAGTGAATTGATTTTCCAAGAATTTAGATAAATTACTTACTATCTGCAACTTTGTGAGCTTCCCAATATCTGGCGGTAGGATTTCAAAATCGTTGTCACTTAGATAGAGTGCACGCAGGGTGGCTGCAAATTAAATAGCAATATATAAACAGGGTGGCATATAACCCAACCATTTGAGGTCTAATCAATAAAAACGAGTCAGGTTTGATTAATAACCCTGACTTGGTGAAAAGCCTTTGACATACCCAGGGCTCACAATAATAACAAGCAGGTCAAACTTAGATTTACTGGCTTATTGTATTGCTGGTGAGTTCAGGAAAACATCTATATTCAAAAGGACTGGCACAATTAACAATTTCTGCAATAAGCACATTCTGGCATATAGTCTGAATGCTCAGATGTCAGAAAACAGTCATTACTCTTTATTACCCCGATTCTTATTTATTACATCAATTTGCATCCTAAACAAACATTTAAAAAATCTGAGTTTTTTTGACAAACACACATCTACGTTCAGCTTTATAGAAAGCACAACCTAACACGGGGAAAGAGATCTGAAATTAGGGCAATATATAAGACTCAAACTTATAATTTGCAATTTCCCTGCTATTCCATGTGAAATTCACAAAACCCCCATGACTCAGCACAGCCATGTATCTTGCTATTATTGAACAAGCATACATGAAAGTTCAAACAAAAAATATTAAAATGGTGACTGACAAGGAACTGTTTGGTGCAGCAGGAGAGAAAGTGATCAGATCAGCAAAACCTCTCCTTCCCACCAGAGGAGACTCCAGTTGTCTCACACAGCTTACTCCTCCTCCTTTCATTTCACTAAATGTAACCATTTATAATAATGCTGACTGAAAACTTTCCCTCTGCCAGCTTACAGTCACAACATCCCTTAGACAACTGCACTCCTCCTTCTTCCCTCACCTGTAACTTTGATGCTAAATGCACCGATCCTGAAGCCACTTCAGCACAGTATACAGAAAAATCTGTAATCATTGAAATCCAGAAAATGCCAGAATTCAAGTTGCTTAGGCAACCATAATGCAGCCCTTTTGCACATATGCATTACAATACCTTTCTTATAACTGAGTGTGTATTTCCAACATATGCAAAGGTCAGCTTAGTAACCTTAGCCTATATTTTAACATCCTGGACACTTCAACATCCACATGCTGTTAAAACTGTTTCAGTAATGAACCATCAGGAACACACTTCTTTCTACCCTCAACACACAACGTTGTGTTGCAGAACAAGTTTGTTTTCCCATGAGGTGTGCAACCTTCCATAAAATGTTAAGTCTTAACTGAGTATGGGATCCAATGAAACATTACTCAGAAGAAAACCAATATACTAGTACTAAGGAAGTCTTCTCATGCCCAAAAGTGTCGGGTGACTGTATATCAGTGATAAATATTGCTGTGCTATGTGAAATATTCAAGATATATTAAAAGAAAAACATAAATATCAGAAAAAAAATCTGCTGGATTTTGGTCTCCATCAAATAAATTTCAACTGCAGAAAGCAAAGCACCATATCATGAAGATTTGCAGAGTTTTTAGAAAAGTTTCTTACTCAGATAGAAGAAGTTTCCTGGTAGGGAATTTTCATTTAAATTGTTGTAAGTCAAGTCAAGAACTTCTAGAGCTGGTAAAGAGCCAAATCCCCTTGGCAAGGTGTTTAACCTGTTCATGCTGTAGGTAAAGAGAAAAAAGAACATGACATCAGTATTCGCTTCATCTAGCAGGAATAATACAGGCCACAAGTGCTTTCTTTTTTTCCCCATACAAATTGCAACCTATGCCAAGATTCCCTTTTGTTTTGAAAAAAGGCTGATGCTCCAAGATACTGAGCAAGCCTTTTGCAATGCAGACCTTCTTTAATTTCTCATTCCCATAAATATACCCAAAACTTATGCACTCACAAGGTATTTTGCCTATTATGTCAACAGCCACAGCTGAAATGTAAAGCCCAAGAGAGAGAGGTGTCACAGTGTTTCACAGAGCAAGCTGGTCCTTGATAGATAACTTCTAGCTAAACTAGACTTTACCCTTCTGCACATTATCCTGACCATGTGCCATTCTGCTGTACCACACAGTTCTTCACTGTGGTACCAAATACAAAGAGGAACACCTCAGCAGCACAGTATTCATGTTCATTGATAATTGCTGCTCAAACCCCTTCATAAGAACAGCAGATCCAGATAACTATTGACGCACATGGAGCATGAAGTAAATAAAATGTCAGGCCTCTGATTGATGAGGTTTAATCTAAATATAGCTCATTCAGCCAGTCCTAAGAGGGTTTAGGATAGCAGCTCCCACTGGCAACAGCCAGAACAGCGTGAGGAAAACTAACAGAAGGAAGAGATTTCTCCAATAACCTGGAGCAGACAAGCTACAGAAAACAGTAACTTCTCTCTGACCTCAAAGTGCTTGAACAAGGTGATCCAGATAACCACTAGAGCTGATGCAATAATGAAGGCAGGCACAGAGATGGAGACTACATTAATAGAACCTTACTGTTTGTGTGTGAGCTAGAGCTCTGCTGTTTATCACATGAACAGAAAAAAACTACCCACCATCTTCTTATTTATACTATCCCTTTTGCATGTACACCAAATATATAGCTTGTGTGTATGAATCTTGCTTTAGTTGTCACCCGGGTTTGAAAGCAGAACAGGGAAGACAGGAATCTCCAGGAAGAGCCTGTATGGGTAGCTGTTGGCAAGAATCTGATGACTGGAAACAAACATGACCTTTTAGATGTTATCTCTAAATATATTCTGAATTTGATTCTCTTTCTGATGCAAAAGTGATAAAGAGCAACAGTCACAACTGAAGCCAAGAGGAGATGCTATGTGAATGTATGAAGCATTATCTAACACTTAAAACTATGAAAACTCAAGTCAAAGTACTGACGAAGTTGGGTACCCAAAAATAAGAAAGGCTATACCTCCATGTGAGCACAGGCAGCGGAACATACCCCATTTCTTTCTAATCTAACTAATCTCACCTTTCCTCTCCCACTATTGCATAGCCAACTCCATGAGAACAAGAACCTGTAGAGATCAACTCCCTGTAGCTAAACTCTCGATGAAATCCTTCGTCCTCCTCATCCCCCAAAAGAAGTCATATGAGGGGCATGCACCTAGTATTGCTGCTGTAGTAGCTATTAAAATACAGAAAGGCATTCTCCACTGTTGCTGCTGTAGACCTGTCACTGTTTTTAAAACTGCTCTTTAGATCAAATAGGACTAAAGTAAGCAGCTCATTTTTCACTAGTGAAAAGGGCTTTTCACTAAGACCCCTGATGGCTTTTCCTTTTGTAAGCAGGAACAGGGAGAAAAAGAATGTTCTCCCTATTGACATCAGGCAGAATGGTATCTATTCTTTGGCATGGAAAGAGAACCAGCTGAAAGTCCCTGCTCAGCACTATTTGCCCCTGCAGAAGTTCAAACACTGAGCTTGTGCCTCAGAAACCATGCCTCACCTGCCTTCCAAATGTTATACTTTTAAGTTTTCAGGGCAGCATTACGCCTTCCCCCTTTCCACCCCACCACTTGCTCCTTCAGTGCCTAAACCTTCCCAAAAACAAACTCTGCTCTTACACAAGCTTCCCCTCTCCTTCAGAGGCCTGCTCTGAAGCCCTCTGACATATGCACTGCAGATGGCAAGAGGGTTTCTGGGCTGCCTCCTGAAAAGTGACTACAGAAAAAAAAAAAAATTCCTCTTTGCTGACTCCAAGAACCTCCAAAGCAGAATCCATTTTGCAGACTAGGGCTGGGTGGTAAATCCTGTGCCTGGAAGATTATGTGTAAGGAAAGGATTAAGAAGGAAGAGCAGTTAATCTATAAGATCTTGGGCCACGTGACACATGAAGGTGGCAACTGCAGCTCCTGGACCTGGATGTCTGTTGGTCCTAACACCAAGTGGTCTTTTATGTTACATTTTTTTCCACTAAAGAAGGCTAGTATTTAAACTATACTAGCAATTGTCATTGCTTCAATCCATGAAAAGGGCCAACTTCTTCCTTCATATACTGCAACGCTTCTATATGCCATTACAAAAATATGGATTTAACCCCCCAAATATATAGAATTCTGATTAATATTTGCTCTGAATAGCAATTCCAGGTTCAAACTGATACTAGGCAAACTAGAGATCTACTGTGACCAAATAAAGACCAGGGAAGATAGATCATCGTTAAAACATTTATTGGCATTCCACCAGTTCAAGATGCAATTCAATTATCAGCTCTTTACAAAAGTTATCTAAAGCAAAATACACAGAGCCTAGCCAAGACCAACTGGTATTTAGAAGACTAAAAATGTTCAGTTTAAGGTGTTCAGAAGTTTGAATTTATAAAATACAAACACTTTCTATGAGAAATCTATGATGCTAAGGCTTATGCCTATCAGTGCTTTCCTAAATAGCTACACTTTAACAAGCCCATTTAATTTTAAGAAGGTCCTGTGCTTCCCATTTGTTTTCTTATTAATTCAAGAAAGTTTTCTGTAACTGAAGTTACTACAAAGTATCACCAAATCTACTGGAATACAGTATCTGAACACTGTAACAGAAATGCCCCTGGCTCAAATTCAGTCAATACGAGTTCTTTGAATTAAATGCATACCACATTAAAAAATGTGCTACTTCTTTTGCAGGTTTAATATAAATTGAAATGTCATTAATCCCAAACTTGAGACTTTGGAATTAAAGTCTTAAATTAACATTCAAGTTTTTATTTTCAAAGCACAACAGGAAACAGACTGATTATTATGCAGCAACCACAGCATTAAGAAGCAGTTGCTAGGGAAGTAAAACTCAATTAATTGTTCAGTTTGACTTCAGTATTCGATGAGTATGAGTTGCTGTTATCCTCACAAACACTGTCAGTAAGAAATTTTAATAGCAAAATATAAGAAGTTCCAGGTTCAGTTGTGATGACATTTGATAGCACCTCTATTACAGCAAATCTTCACATTAAGATACGCACCCAAGGTTCAGGTGTTTGAGCTTCTGAAGGCTGCTGATCTGTGTAGGCAGCTCCTCAATCTGGTTGTTGAAAAAGTTGAGCACCTCAATGTTTCTCAGGTCTGCAATGTTTGCTGGTACAGCTGTGGGAAAGTTTTCACAGTGAGAAACTGCAATTGGAACAAGTTACCTAGACTACAGATGCTTTAGTAGCACTTGGTGTTTGCACCATTTGTACAGGGCCTGTAGCACAAACAGCATCTCACTGCTACTGCAATAAAAGTAAAGTTTATATCCAGAAAGCCTCGTATCTAGAGTCTGTTCTCATTGCTGAGAATAGGCACTTTGTACTTGGAAAAGTCATTTTGTAATTCAAAAAATTACTACCAGTACTCTAATGTATTTTGACTAACAAAGACCACTACAGACAGACACAAGAACAACGAATGTTCTTACAGATTAACAAACAGAAATAGACTGTTCTCTGAGTTTGTTTAGCACACACAGGTCTCAAAAGAGGAGAGCACAAGAGACTCGAATCATTTTGTTATCTGAGTGGAAAAAAGTGAATGATGCAAGCAGTTACACCAAGACAGCAGTTGTATTAAAGGTCTTTAACAAAAAACAAGAAATAAAACCTCATTTTTAGTGATGGAGCATTCTACTTACTGCTGAAATAATCTAGTATCCAAGTTCTTGTCCATTTAAGATTCAACAAAATTTACAAAAATTAAGTTCAGCCCGACAGAACTGTTTAGCCAAGCCCATTTGCAGTTACCTCCTCCGAGTGACAAACCGACTGATCAATACACATGCATGGCCACAGTGGATTACCAACTGATTGTTATTATCTAGAAACATGAAAAATAAGGCAGAAGCACAACATGAATATGCATGTGCACATGAGGTTAAAAAGCTATTCAGATTTACATCTTTTCCTCCTTAAACTTACTGAGATTTAATCAGCCAGCTGAGGTGCAAAAGGATGCTGGCAAGTCACCTGTAGTGAAGCTTGCACCTGTGTTCAATATTCACCTTGGTTCAGCCTCAACTTTGACTGCATCAGGAACCCACAGAGTGCACATCCAAACAATTAGAAGGTTTTATGAGGCCATGATTTTCTTTTATTTGTTGGGATGGTGCAATCTCAGTCTTAAAATGGAGTCAGTAATGTTTACAAAGGAGAACATTACAGTATGCCACATTTAGTAGATTATGAGTCTAATTACATTGTGAACAATAACAAGATCCATAACAAAGACTCTAATTACACTACATAAATATTACTGTTGAGGGTCAGATTCATTGCAGGAGATTTTAGCAGACTTTTTTATAAAGTCATTAAGGCAAATCCGAACATCTAAAATACCTCCCTTTGTGGTATTTTCCAACGGGTCTATGTTTATCTGTCACTCAATGAAAGCGAAAATTATGTGCCTTCAGAAAGTAAAGGGTAACGCACTACTACTGCTGTTTTAAATTATTCCCTAACAGAAGTTAACTGAGGATTTTAATTGACATAATTCATCTGTTTCCAGCCTCAATATTTCACCATAACAGTAATTACCAGTATTGAAATGTTTTTCATTCAGAAATTAGACTTTATAATTCGATGACTTTGATGAGATGCAATGGATGGGCAAACCATGTTTCTGCTCTTCTCAGATACTACATTTATGATACTACATTATTATTAGTAATCAGAAGTGCTAGCAAATATGGGTTTTAGTTTAGTCAAAGCCTAAGTTTAGTTTAGTTTAGTCTAGTTTAGTCAAAGCCTAAATAATGCAGAGACCAAACACAATTCTCCTGAAGTTGCACAACTTGATGCAATTAATACATATTTTGTTATGAAGGTTTTGGCCTTTTTGACAGTGTAAGATTGCAGTCTCCTAGAAAGACTGTGCCACTTAATATCACCAGATGACTCACTGTGGTCCCTTCCAACCTGAACCATTCCGTGACCCAGGTACTGAGCAACCTTCAACTGGCAATAGTGATTTAGTGGGTATGTCCTGTCAAACACCTGCCCAAACCAGCTTGTTTCCCCACTCAAGAATAAATGAATCCTTAAGCTTGCATCTCACTTCTGCCTTTAACTAGGAGGCTGTGGAGAACAAATCATTTCAAGGAAGAAGGTAAACACTCAATTTAAAAAAAAAACAAACTAGTAACAAAACTAAAACCTGCACAACCATCCAAAAAGCACCATGAAATTACACAGAAAAAGATGACACCTTGACATCAAGAGAAAAAGAAAATGGCTTCCAGACATCTGTTCATGAAGAAATTCCAACCAGGGGTTGGGACTAGATGATCTATAACGCCCATTTCAACCCCTAAAATTCTATGATTCTATATTATCTCCTCGATTACACTTGTACTGAAGATCACAGTATCAAAGAGAACCCATTTCAATGGGTCACTACACAGCTGAAGAGCCTCAAATTCTACCTGCTCATCCCACTTACAAACATGGGGCAAAACCTCAGCTCCCATTGGCTAGTTTATCAGAGGTTTCTTATTTGTTTTTCTTTTGTAAGAGGACAAGTCTAAGTGTCCTTAGTGAACAACAGGAGTTGTGCCCAGACAGATTTAAGCTTCTGATATATCTGTATAATTCCCACACACTGTATTTTATGTTGTGAATCACACTTAGGATACTTTATATCACTCTTTTCTTCCAGACATACTAAAAGCTGCATGGGTAAGCAGGGTAAGATGAGAAAAAGGCTAACTATGCAGCAACCGATTTGAATTAAATACTTTGTGTCTCACCCAGTTAAATCAAAATTAAGAGTCCCAATCCACAATAGTACTTTTTGATTTGGATGGAGGACCTGGAGGTATTTTGTGAGAAGGAAAATCAGAAGAGTAGGTCAAGACTAGGCTTGTGGTAAGGGAGAGAGGACTTTTTCCTGTAAGAGCTTATCTTCTGTTTCAAAAATTCAGATTCATCGGTAATATGAAGAAATGCTCTCTTGTATTCAGTGAAAATCGGAAGATCGAAATTAACTCTGGTACTGCTCTTGTAGCTATACTGCACAGGTTCAGCACCTGCAGGTCTAAAGATCAGTGGTGGTCAAGCAAGATTGACTAGGCTTATCATGTACTCTGTTCTGAACTTTACACGACCTGACTAGCATCCCACTGTGACGTTGCAAAATTCTTCCCAGATATACAGCAGACTGCCAAATCCCAAGACATTCATGTTCTGGCAATACTGAATTCCACTCGAGTCACCTTCTCATGACGAGCTGCGAGAGTGAACTGTCAGCATCAGTTCCATTCACCCACATATTTACAGTACGATCCACAGTGTCTTAACAACTCTTCTAAGACCATCTGCTGCCCAGTGTCATTAACAACTCCCCCTCAGCAAATGCTAGTAAAATTTGGCAGCCCAATGCCTTTGCATTCTCCTGTGAAGCTTCAGTCACATTATGAAGCCCCATTCATATTAAGTCTCACTTCACAAGACCATGAACAGCTTCCTTCTCCTTCAATACTGGAAATTGCATACAGTGATTCGCTACGACAGCTATAGACTTCACCTTGATTTCAAGAGGTTGGTTGACAGTGAAAGACAGGGTCTACAGGCTGCCCAGAAGGAATAACAGGACTTTGTTCATGTTTCCGGAAATAAGGATTGGCAACTTGTTATACTTCAAAGCATTTATGCTCTTTTTTCGCCCTGAAGTTAGTGGCAATTCTTTAGGCACTAAAACATATTCTCGTCAGAGCAGCCTTTCACTCAAGGCAAGTTATTACATTTTACATAACACATAACCTACATAACCAGCAGCTGTTCAAAAGTTATGGAATTATTTCCAAAACATAGATAAGAAGGATTAAATGCTATTATTCAATGCCTTTCTACCTTGACACCTAGTGTTCTGGATCTGGACCTTAGTTCTCTTTCCAGATTCAGAACCAGAAGCCAACACCCGGCTTTATTTCTACTAGAGGTCTGATGTTGCCCTCTATTGGAGAACAGACAACGGGTTAGATGGACCTTTTATCTGAGACCCAGCAGAGTAACACGCTAAGAATATCCAGTCAGTGAAAGTAGCTTGGAGTTAAGCATCTCAGATGTAAACCTTTCTGACAGCACTACCTAAAACTGACACCCCAATCCAGCTATTTTTGTATACTCAACCTATGACAAAAGAAGAGCACAGAAAGTAGAAGAGAAGAAAAGGAGGTCCATTATTTTCCCTCCAGTTCCACTCTGCCACTCTCCTGTCATTCAGCTACAATTCTTCTTGTGGTGGCAGGGCCCTTCATACAGCTGAAAATCCACAGGCTTTAGAAAGCCTTTATTTCTGAAAATAATCTCCAAGATTATTTCTTTTAAAGCATCTGTGAAGCCCTGGAAAACAACAGGAATCCTCACTATTTTAAAACTAAGCAAACTCAGGTGTTTGAAAAATTTAGTCTCCATTCCCTTTAATCTAAAAGATGAAATCTAGTCTGGGGTTTTTCTTGTATTTACTAAGGACCAACATTAAATTAAACATTTCTGAAGGCACTCTTGGTAAAAGAGATCTATATCAAAATTTCCTTTATGACTTAAAACTAAAATAGAAAACATTTTAGACAAGGAAGCCCAGACGAAAAAAGTGACAAGAGTCAATAAACTACTCAATTGGGTAAGTTAAATGATTTAGTAAAAATGTAAGTCTCCATGAGAAGAACACATGGTATGCAAACTGCATTAAACATCGCAGTTCATTTATACCTAAACACTGAATGTTCAAAATAAACACTGTCCCACTGCTGCTTGGAACATGGTATCTGTAATACCTCATTATGATTAAAATTGTATGTAAGTAAGCTCACAATCTCTTCAATAAATATGATCCAAAGGCTACAAAAAACCTCCCACTGAATGCAATGTTTTTTGAATCAGAGATTAAGTGAAATAAGAATTTTAATTGTTTAATACAAGATTAGTTCTTTTGGCATTCACATCCTTAGAAACTAAGCTGCAAAATCCCTGTTTTTTCAGAATGTTTCTTTACTTAATGAAGTAATTTTGCAGTACCTAGGAACATGATGTTCAGTAGTATTCCAAATCTTCACAGGTTCTAAGGGAATATTTATCCAGAAGAGCTATTAAAATAGCACCACTTGACAAAGA